TACAGCCTGGTGCCCTAGGTATGCTGCGCTAGCGCTACACTGACCCAGGTAATAGCTACACAATGGGGGCGCTCACTAGACGAACAAACATGGCGGACACGACATGTATTTACCAGAGAAAAACGCTTGAACGGGTAGTTAAAAAAATTCTTAGCATTTTCATTAATGCTGTTGCAATGTATACGTCACGAGGATAACGTCCATTGTTACTTTTACTGAAGGAAAACATCACATCGGGGAAATGTAAACAATGACACAAATCCATTTTTATCAGTGATATGAGCGTTATTATGTCGTGTCAGCCCACTGTTGTCACGAAATTGTACACATAATACATGAAATATCAGAACCAATGACAGACCTTATCATTAAATACCACTATTACGTTTCAAAAGTGTTGTTTTTTATCGTTATTATACTGGGCGTTCAATAATTCCGTTAAACCCACCATTTTACAATCATGGAAGAAAACGGGGCATTATCGGCGACATATGCGTCATCAAATTTACTAAAATAAAGATGCTAACGGTATTTTACTTACATGGTCGTTTAATTCCATGCATTATGCGTACAGTTTCGTGAAAACAATGAGCTGACACGACATAATAACCCACATATTACTGAAGCATTTTTCTACAGTGAAAACATATCGCGTCAGCCATGTTTGTTCGTCTAGTGGAGGTCATTGTGCAGTCATTACCTGGTTCAGGGTATAGCGCCGGTGTCCCGGTATAAACTCTCCCCCGTACAAATTCTCCCCCCGGAGATTTTATACCGGTACAGATTCTCCCCCGGAGAATCTGTTCTGAAATAAAATCTCCCCCGGGCGGATATATTTCGCGCCCCCCTCAGTATAAAGTCTCCCCTCTGATTATTCGGTTTGTTGCAATGTCTTTAAGTACTATATTCTTTAAATAGGTATCTTTAATGTAAGGAGGGTTACTTTAAAATATAGATTATGAAATATGGTCATAATGAATTGATATTTCAGCATATTTTATTTGGTAACTGTACCTTCCATCCTAAAATAATTATAAGACATAATCATACCAAACAAATTTGAATTAAATGAATTAATGTGACAAATACATGTACGGTTACTGTCGTAACTGAAATTCAGAAATCTTATTAATCCTCGCAAACATTCGGTTTTAACACGAACTACGTAAAAACTGTCAACATATCCACGCGCGCCTCCAGCTCAGGCTGTCCGTTATACTCTGATTTAAGATCTAAAATATATTCCTTAATACAGGCTACGATTTGACAATGGTATCAGTGTAGGTGAGGTGAGGTGAAATTGGGTTTAACGTCGCGTCCAAGGTTATTGCACTTATATAGCGACGTGCATGCACGCGTGTGCGTGTGTGTGGCTGCTTGTACTAGTCCGGACTGATGCCGATTTATAGTGCTAGCTCACTGAGATACCATGCCACAGTTTACTGTATACTGACTCCGAGCCGACCAGTTCTTGCTTTAAACATACAACATCATAACTTTCTAATTCAGCACTGATTAAATCTACTTTGTCTTTAAGACAGCGTACGTTTAGATGTATAAACTTTAAATCTGGACTATGCAAAGGTCCTGGATTCGGATGGATATCACCGCAGCAAAAGAGAAAAAGTAAAACTAAGAATGATAATCGGAAATTATATAAGCAAAGTAACCCAAAATATAGAGAAATGTGTATCATCTTCCCGAAATGATTAGCATGTAGAAAAGATTAAAAGACGCCCATTGAACAACATCAACCGGCATCGCCAAAGCAAAGTGCACATGTAATTGTTACAATCGGGCTGGCGGTGAATCTTAATGAAAAACACCTTGTTAAAAAGACACAACGAAACTGATTTGCATAACTGATGACCACAACATATTGCAAAATATCAAAACAGTAAAGATGATACAGTTTAACCTCATACTCAATCGCCAGCTGTCAATATACAAAACAGAATAATACATCAAGATGACAGTTTTCATGTAAAGGTTTTTTTAATAAGTATTTTTAAGCAAATTAAAGATACATATATCTAGATATTGTGCATATCTTTAAGTTGCTTAGAAATACTTAATCTTTACATGGAAACTGCCATCTTGATGTATTATAATGTATTGTATATTGACAGCTTGTGATTAATTGGGTAATAGCCATTTCTGAAATGTGGCGCTCCCGGCTAGACACCGATTAATTGTTACCAGGTGGCTCCAGCTGGGGTAGCAGACGACACACTTTCCAACAATGGGGAAAAGGGTAAACATATGAGTAGGCTGGTTATCATCGAGCAGAAGACTCACCAGTCTAAGATGTATTGAAAAAACACACACTTTATTCTCAACCTTATCTAATGTTAATTCAACAATTTATCATATACTTAGCAGTGGGATATTCTGTTAATAATCTCTCATAATTCTATTGAATGGTTCTGTACATTCTATCAATGTTTATTTGTACAAAGCTGTTTTATGTATGTGCAGAAGTGAGACATTAATAAGTTATTGTCTGTCTGTCTACAATGTATACCGTACAATTTAACCGATTACACAAGCATGGCAAGTATTTATAAAACGACCGAAAAAGGGGGGGGGGGGGGGGGGAGAGAGAGGTGGGGGGGAGAGAATATTCTGGGGGGAGATTTTATTTCGTAGGTGGGGGGAGAGTTTATTTCGAGAGGGGCGGAACTGTACCGGTATAAATTCGCCGGGGGGAGATTTTATTCTGGGGGCGAATATATTTCGTGACACCGGCGCAGCATACCCAGGGAACCAGCCTGAGTGTACGAAGGTCAGAACCAGGAAATGTTGCCAGGGTCCCCTCCAAAGTGTGACCTACCCATTCTTGTCGCAAGAGGCGACATGTCAGGCTCGCTTACTTGGTTGATGCATGTCATCGTATCCCAATTATTTACAGACCGCCGTCATATTGTTGGAATATTGCCGAGTGCGGCGTAAAACAACAAACAAAAAAACAAACAAAGCGACCTTAGAGCTACAACTAAGCCTACGTAAGCCTATGTTAAAGTATGGGAGTTACGATCATCTGATTTAAACATATTTTTATTCAATGAATCTAAACAAACCAAGAATGCTTATGACTGTTAATATCTCTCCAGTACAATTTGTTTCCTAGAGGCATTATATGAAACAATACATGATGATAAACAAAATATGTTAACAAAAGCAAGTGGTTAGGGACAACAGTTTGATGTAATGAGTAGAAAAATAATATATAAGCGGGATTTATAGTCTCACGTTAGCTTAAACCTTTTGGAATGAAGTATGTATGAATATACTGATTTTAAGATATCTAGATTATTAGTTTTTGTTAAATTAGCATTACCATTCAATATAGTGTTAATATCAACTGTCAATATCAATGAATCATTTCTTACATCATGTAAAAGGGACTGGAAAAGAAATAGTTTGATACATTTCCAAACATGTATCTACAAGATGTGCGCTTGTCATCCCAGCGCTGTGTTTGCTTTGTGGATAGGCCCTGGACGTTTATACTGGGATCATGTTTCACTGTAAATAATACTTTGTACATTGCTTGCACAACAGATCTGTTTGCATGTTGTTGGGCTTAAGATGATGGCGCAAACCACTCATCCCAACTAAAACCTCTTGGTTATATCGGTCTGCATTGGGAGAAATCCATATTAGAACTGTGTTCACTTTCTAGTTTCTCTAGTTCAAGTGACTATCACATCATAATTTGACAATGTCGCATTCCTTTTCCGGGAAACATCGAAGAAAGTGGCGGGTTTAGACTAACATATAGTCTTGAAATAAAGTTCTGTGTACATATACTGCACAAAAATAGTAAGGGATCATGGATTTATTTATGGTAGTGAAGATTGAGCACATAATTTTATAAAATATACCCAAACATATTTATGATCCCTATTTTTTTTGTTCAGTATATATAAAGTTCAAAAAGCAACGCGAGAACCTCTAAACTAAGGAATGGTAGAGCTGGTGAGGTATGATGGTATGGTGTGGGGGGATTGATGTAATAAATATAGACTTGAAACGGTTAAGAACCACCCCTTCTCTATTTTTATATCTCCCGGAATGTAATATCGCGGCCTTAACTATTTATATTCGGAACTGGTCGTTTTCAAGTGTTTTTAGAGATATGCCAGTCCGAATGCTTCGCTCACTAATTTAGAAGCGTCGACACTGATAAGAAGAGTGACACGACCTCTTACGAGTAGGGGCGGTCGGGTAGCCTAGTAGTTAAAGCGTTTGCTCGTCACGCCGAACACCCGGGTTCGATTACCGACATGGGTACAATGTGTGAAGCCCATTTCTGGTGTCCCCCGCCGTGATTTTGCTGGAATATTGCTAAAAGCGGCGTAAAACCATACTCACTCACTCTTACGGCGTAAAAGATACGATTTAAATCAAACATGTTAGGTGACGAGACATGCATGCATATAATCTCCGGAGATTGATTTTTATTGTCATTTCTACACCTGTCTTCACTCACTAATTCATTCACCCAATCACACACTCACTCGCTCACTCACTCACTCCTAAAAGGCCGACTAGAAAGGGGGTCGAGTGATTGCGATGGGTGATTTGATTGATGTTTTTATTTTATTTGTATGTGTTGTTCATGTTGTCAATCACTGGTTTGTCTCAATTATTAACTTGAAATCGTGGTATAGCTGGAATTGCTGATTTGTGGGGGTTATTATTCCACCCTAACCTGTAGCTCATGCTTTCAATCACTGGTTTGTCTGGTTCAGACTCAATTATTAACACGAAGCCGTGATATAGCTGGAATATTGCTGATTTGTGAGGGTTATTATTCCACCCTAACCTGTAGCTCATGCTTTCAATCACCGGTTTGTCTGGTTCAGACTCAATTATTAACACGAAGCCGTGATGTAGCTGGAATATTGCTGATTTGTTGAGGGTTATTATTCCACCTTAATATATGTTGCTCCAATATGTTGTATCTTTACTTTCTTTTCTATTGCATGTATAAGAATGGTGTACCGACAATGCCTAAAGTACCTAAGACACGTCAAACAGAAGAAGCACCAAGTGGTCAGAATTCAATGTAACCCTGTCAAGCGGCTGTTTCTATGGTTACGGGCGAGGTCACGAAAGATATTCGCAGTGTTATGCATTTTCACACTCTTTTACCTACATTTTACAGTCTTACCACGATCCATGGGGTACTACAACAACCGATGTTACCTCAGTCGAGAGGAGATCAACAACATGAAGTACCTCCTTACCCAAGTCAGTGCTGCTTTCAATAGGCAAAACGTGACGTACTGGTTGGACTTTGGTACGCTGTTGGGGGTCTGGAAAACAGGGGAGATAATTCGATATGACGGAGATATAGATATTGGTAGACATTTCACAGGAACCACAGCCGACGCACACATGATTCAAGAGACACGGAAACTACTGAATCAATTCAATGTAACAATTGACGATTTTCAAGCCAAATATAAAGGCAGCGTAGCAGATTTATTTAGATGGGAGACATATGGAAACGTCAGCACAAAGATGCTAAGAAAGTGGTATCCGTTTGTCGAACACTTTGGCATTGTTGAAAGAATAGCCAATTACCTCATGCCTTCCGAGATACCTTATGACGTCATATTTCCAACAAGGGAGCTAACTGTATATGGCGAAAAGATGAAGATTCCTAACAAACCACTAGACTTGCTCAAGATTCGCTATCCATTAACATGGTTTATATCGTTTCCCTATAAATGGAAATGTTTGTTTGCGTCAAAGCCACCTAGCTGATAATTGCATGTTAAGTGAGTGAGTGAGTGAGTTGGGTTTAACGCTGCTTTTAACAGTATTCCAGTTATATCGCGGCGTGTCTATTCAATTCGTCCGGATTATCAGATGTGTGTTTTTACGTTAGTGAAAGAAGAGGACAAACGGTGATGTATTTCTAAATCTACGCAACATATTTGTACAAACTACATGTAATGTATCACATTTCCTATTTTCTGTCATAAATATTTTTAATGCAGGGGAAGGAATCTCAAAGTTATTTTTTTGAATAAATCATACTCGCATAAAGGAAATCGTTTGCGTTTGTATTATTTCATCCTCCCGAGGCAAGGGAGTTAACTGACTATAAAAGTCCAGTTTCCACCCTTGCCGAACTAGGCTGGTATTATGGAGTTCCATTTTGACTGGACTAACGAGTCTGTGCATAGTCCAATCAAAATCGCGCAACGAAATCGAAATCCGGTTCGTAAACTGTCGCGCAGATTTCGGTCGATTGAATAATCGCAAAGAAGGTGCACCGCCAACTCGTTGTCAACAGATATTTTCAAAACTTTTACATGTTTTTAATAAAGGTGCCAGCGTGATCTGATGCACTTCGCGCTGTAAGACCCGTTTTATCACAACATAGATCTTGATTATCGATCACATCGTCTTGACTGGGCGCCACTGTTTTGTTTGAAACTAATGCAAGTGATGGAATCTGATTGGTCCATAGAAGAGGCCTAAAAGGGACATAACTCGTAATAACTGGTGGCGCTACGATCGAGCCCAGGAATTTCAGCAAAGTTCGGCAAGGGTGGAAACTGGACTTTTAAAGTCAGTTAACTCCCTTGCCTCGGGAAGATGGTATTATGTAGGTATGTAGGTATGTAGGTGTGTAGGTATGCACCACGGAGGGTACGCAGCAAAAACATTTTTACCATGTTCAGCGGATTTGCATTGCATTGTCAATGCCCTGAGAAGTATACAGCTAAACTGTGAAGTGGAAATAACATCGGTAGCATAACTAACAAACGAAAAGAACGATGAATGCAGTAGGATTCCATTGGGTGAGGGGTCACGGGTGGCCCAGTCGTCTAAGGCGCCGCGATTCGCTGTGCAGAGTTGCGTCCCTTGGGCGCGCCAGAAACCTATGATTGTGGGTTCGAATCCAGGTTCGCCCCGATTATGTTTCTAGGTTTGCCAGCACTATACCCGTGCTCGTGGGTTTCACCGAAGTGGTAAACGTCTGAGACCTGCATCACTTCGGGCTTTCCTCCCACATTAAGCTGACACGCCGTGATATAACTGGAATACTGTTAAAAGCGGCGTTAAACCCGACTCACTCACTCACCCATTTGGTGACCTGTTTTTACTGACTCCTGTCAACCAGTTTAGAAATAAACTATTACTGCATTCATAAGGACGGTGTCTCGGGTTTATGGGTGTACAAAGTGAAATGGGCTCCAGATGGTGGAGTTTAGTTCCTCTTCACAGGTGCGATGCCCAAACTAACTGAGCAAAGCTTCGACCTTCCTGACCAACTCGTGTTATTCCGGAAAGGGGCGAGTGTTGACGAATGAAGCTTCGAGTGCGAAATCAGTATTAGTTTGAAGCGCTCGTAAATTCCTCGACCTGAGCGTTGGATGCCTATCGATTGAGAGAGTGGTTGTTTTATTTGATGTATACCCTGGGGTTTGTAAGTGGGACTAGTTTGTTTGTTTGTTTGTTTGTTTGTTTGTTTAACGCCGCACTCAGCAATAATCCGGCTATATGGGGTGAGGTGAAACTGTATTTAACGTCGCGTCCAATATGATTGCACTTATATAGCGACGGACTAGTCCGAATTGATGCCGATTTATAGTGCTAACCCACTGAGATACCATGCCGCAGTTTAACATGAATACCCTACTCAGACACAGTTTACTGACTCCGAGACGACCAGTCCTTGCCTTAACCCCTTAATGCAAAGCGCCAGACAGGGTAACATAAAGTACCATCTATTAACGTCTTTTGGTATGACGCGGCCGGGGATCGAACCCCTCGGACGCTCTACCACTAGAACACGGAGGCGGTCCCGGCTATATGACGGCGGTCTGTAAATAAGCAAATCTGGACCAGACAGTCCAGTTGCGAGAAATATAGTTGTGCCATTACATTGCTCTGGATATTTCATACAACGTGTTGTTTCAGAGTGCAGGGGGGCACGGGTGGCCCAGTCGTCTAAGGCGCCGCGATTTGCTGTGCAGAGTTGCGTCCCTTGGACACGCCAGAAACCTATGATTTTGGGTTCGAATCCCGGTTCGCCCCGATTATGTTTCTAGGTTTGTCAGCACCATACCCGTGCTCGTGGGTTTCACCGAAGTGGTAAACGTCTGAGACCTGCATCACTTCGGGCTTTCCTCCAACATTAAGCTGACACGCCGTGATATAACTGGAATACTGTTAAAAGCGGCGTTAAACCCAACTCACTCACTCACTCACTCACTCAGAGTGCAGTGGCATGTTCACCGTGACCTTAAAGGGAGTACCATCCAAAGAATTATTTTTTTCTGAGTTGGTGTTTATTTGAACAAATCAAAATTTGCAAATCGAGGTGGTAAAAGAGTGAACCGAGATTGTGTCAGAAAGCTGACATCTGGGTGACTCAAGAACCCCATGCTGTCTTCTTTAAGATTTGGGGGGGGGGGGGTCAAAGATCATTCACGGGTAATCATACTGTTCTCAGATCTAAGTGATATGTATCAGATTAAAATATCTGATTTTAATGTGTTTGTTTTTTACCGCCACACTAAGCAATATTCCAACTATATGACGGCGGTCTGTAAATAATCGAGTCTGGACAAGACAATCCAGTGATTGTCACCATGAGCATCGATCCACGCAATTTGGTTGGTTGGTTGGTTTGTTGTTTAAAGCCGCACTCAGCAATATTCCAGCTATATGACGGTGGTCTGTAAATAATCGAGTCTGGACCAGACAATCCAGTGATTAATATCATGAGCATCGATCCACGTAATTGGGATACGACGACATTCATCAACCAAGTCAGCGAGCCTGACCACCCGATGGCGTTAGTCGCCTCTTACGACAAGCATAGTCACCTTTTAAGGCAAGCATGGGTTGCTGAAGACCTTTTCTACCCCGGAATCTTCACGGGGCATTGGAGAGACTAACAGGTCACATGACATGTGCAAACCAGGGTTTCTTGGGTAAGCATCCCCAATTTTTAATCTTATTGATTGATTTTTTTTAAAGGTTTATAGGTGTTCGGGCAACTAGGCCTATTTACACCTTGCCTCATACTAAAGGTTTGCTAAGTACCTAGATAGTTCATAGTGTAGTAAAACTGCCACACGCTTTAAAATCACCACAAACTACTTTAAGATTATCTGACATTTTCATAGAGAACTATAGTCATCATAGGTAGCAAGACCATTATTATAGGCATTAAAAATGGAGACTGGTCTTTTATCCTTCAAATGAATATTGACTTCATTCCCTTCTCATTGGGATGACGGAGCCTTCTCTACATGACAGTGAGTGAGTTTAGCACTTTACTGGTAAAATCACGTGATACACTGCACGTGCAGGTAAAGTGCACTTCAATAGACAAAAACCCAGTGGCACTGGGCACTACAGAATGGGGCGTCGGGTAGCCTAGTGGTTAAAGCGTTCGCTCGTCACGCCGAAGACCCGGGTTCTATTCCCGACATGGGTACAATGTGTGAAGCCCATTTCTGGTGTCCCCCACCGTGATATAACTGGAATGTTGCAAAAAGTTCTCTAAAACCAAATATATTTACGGAGGCAGACATTACCTTCCCTACGGAATTCCTATTTTGGAATCAAGAACGTCTCCTGAAGACATAACATATGGTATTGGGTCAAGACTGTTGTTAAAAACCTTAAATCCTGGACCATTAGCATTTATTGATCTAGCATCAAGAGAGACGTAAGAAGGATGGATTAAGACTTCCATTGTTGGCCCTTAACCATGCTCGTCAGATCATCAGGGGACAATCTTAACCCCAAGAGGGACTGGGCAGCTGATGCTGTGGTCTGGAGACCATCAGACTTGAATGCACGAGTAGTTCCAAGATTGGCAACTATACAAATAACAAAATTGAGAAAATCAACAGGAGACACATTGTTGAATAGAAGTTTGCAAGAGGATGCAGGCAATAACAGGATCAGTCTGACATTCAACTTCCAGAGTTTCAGTCCGAGTACTAGCAGTCACCATGACTTGAGGAGATACAACATCAGACAATGAAACAACCTGAGACAGGAGGTGGTTAATTGACTTTTGGAACCTGATCATGAGCAATATCTAAATCTCCACGCACCTTTCGAACTGCCTGAGAATAAGACAGTTTACCCTCAACTCTGACTTTCTGGATCTGGACAGCTTCCTGGTATTTAAGACAACCTTTGTATGCCGCAGAGTGAGCTACACCACAGTTCTGACATTTCAGAGAAGACCCGTGAAGATTCCGGGGTAGAATTGGTCTTCAGCAACCCACACTTTCCGTAAAAGGCGTCTATGCTTGTCGTAAAAGGCGACTAACGGGATCGGGTGGTCAGGCTCGCTGACTTGGTTGATACATGTCATCATATCCCAATTGCGTAGATCGATGCTCATGATGTTAATCACTGGATTGTCGGGTCCAGATTATTTTACAGACCGCCGTCATATAGCTGGAATATTGCTGAGTGCGGCGTTAAACAACAAACAAACAAACATTTAAGAGAACTTTCTTTGCACTCCTCATATTTGTGCTTCCCTCCACATTTAGCGCACACATGATGAGTGCTCCTACACTTAGCAGAGACATGCCCAAAGGACTGACACTTGAAGCATCGCTGAGCAGGAGGAATATACAGCCGGATGGGAAACCTCTGAAAGAGAAGGACAACATTATCTGGTAAAGACTGACCAGTAAATGTAAGGAGGACAGATTTGGTGGGAACTTTACCAGGTCCACGAGTCAGACGCACAGCAGAGCACATCAGAAGAAACATAGGTTTAACTCGTCCTCAATTTCACTCGTCTCAATATCCAGATCAAGGCCAGAGATAACTCCACGGGTTCTCATTAACGAATCAGGCTCATGAATGGTGACATCAAGTTCTGTGACTTGCAAAAGTGTTAAGGCAGCCTCAACAGTGTTTGCTGTGACACTAACATCTCCCCTTGATCCGCTTAACACTGACTATTTCCGTAGTGACCTAAGCCAATGCTCTAGCCAAAGCACGCTGGGTCATCAGACAGAGGGTCGTTGAACTATCATCAGATTCATCTACTTCGGCT